ACCCAATCAGCTGAAATCATGATAATCGTGCGAAATTCGTAAATATTGAAGTCACCGACCATTTATCTTTTGTGAGGGGAGGGGGGGGGGGCATTTTTTTTTTTAATTGTTTGATTTGATATTTTATTCATAAATAAAGCCCCATAAAGTTTTAATTTGAACAAATATATTCTAAACAAATATTACTTTCTTGAAATAATTTGCTTCTGCTAACTACTAGTATTTAAAACCTTTTTTTGGAAAAAAATATAGACTCTAGAAAAAAAAACTATGCAACCCCAACCCCCCCCCCCCCCCCACCCCCCCCCTCCCCCAAACAATAGATGAATGGTCGATACCTTGGTATTCCCGTTTTCTGCTGCAGAAGGAACCAATCATGCCCCCAAACAGTTATATCCAAAGATTTCCGACAAAATCAATATAGATGTATGCAGAAATTGTCCTGGGATCCGTAACAAAATGTTATATTTTTCATGAACGACAAGAAAATAGAGACAGGGTAATTTGTCGTAACCCCATCGTATATTCTTTTATTAAAAACATGTAAACGGAGCCTCCACCACCACTTTGGTCAATATTCTTAATGCATGGCTGTATGTATCACAATGGATTCTTTTTCAGTTTTATATTTTGGTGAAAAACAATCATAACAAAACAAAATCCAATGGAGGTCAACAGACTACCATTCATTGGTTCAGTCAAGAAAATTGTTGAGGCAATCTGACTGTGCATAACACTAATGTATAGATTTTTGTTGTAATTTTGGAGTAAACTGGTTTCAATGTCTCTCAAAAAAGCGTGTGATGCCGAAGGTCAATTTCAAAATGCGAATATTGAAGAAAACAGATACTACTATTTTTGACAATATCTTGTAAAATTTACACTGACGTTAATGCATCACAATACGGGGCCCAGTAGAATGAATCCCTTAGGTCGCGTTAAAAAAATGCATCCATCAGTTTGCCTCACTTTTCAGCAAATTTAAGATTTTTTCTCGCCGCGATATAGTCTTTTTGTGCTGATGCTGCGTAAAGCAATCATGCACCAATCAACCAATCAATCAATTTTTTTAAAAAAGTCATAGGTTTTTTTTAAATGAGACGCGGAGACGCCCACCTAATGCCTAAGGCGGCGGGTCAGATTTAGCCATATTGAAGCCACACAATATCCAATATACAGAATAGATTCTATATTTTATAATGCAAATCATATTCTGACCCCGCCTAATTTGTTGAAAATAGTTTGATGAGAATTTGTATAAAAAATTCCCTGTATAACGTAATTTGAATTATGCACATATAAACGTAATTAAAATTCTGTATAGTCTGTATTTGCGTATGAAAAGAATTGTTACATCACAATTCCGTAAATACGGAATTCGAAGTCTATCCATGCAGAAATAGTTCTGTAAATCCGTTTTTTTTAATTCTGTAAATACATAAACGATTTCTGTATATACGAAAAGGCGCGAAAATACATAATTGAATAATATACCTCTATACACAAATTCTAATAACGTATATACAGATTTCGAATTAAGTAAATAAAAAAGTATTCGAACTATACCTAACATATACTACATATACGGAATTATTTCTGTACATATGTAATAACATATACGTTATAATACAGACAGACATTTTTTGTTTTACCCTGATACCGCGCAATAATTATTTCTAAGAGTCGGACTAATGGGTTGTCGGATTATTGGACTGTCGGAGCAATGGGTTGTCGGATTATTGGGTTGTCGGACTAATGGGTTGTCGGACTAATGGGCTGTCGGAAAATGGGCCGTCGGACTAATGGGCTGTCGGACTAATGGGCTGTCGGAATGATGGCGTGTAACACTCTGCATACTAGCCAATAGAAAATTGTTTACTTTGTTGGTGTTTCTATACCCAGGAAATCCACGAAAAGTGATATCCCACCAAAAGAAATCAATCCACAGTATGCCAGTGTGCAGAAAATCGTTAAAAATGCAGAAAAGAGGTTTCCTAATGAAAGCTCTAGGACATTGCATGGGATTAGAGCCAAACTTCAATATATGAGGAGGGAGATCCTTATTGATTTTTAGCTCTAAACGTTCAAGTGAAGATTTCATTCTTGTAACCAGGGTAGGGCTTTCATTTTTTGGTAGGACAAAATAATTGTATTAAATTAAAACAGGAAAGAATCATACCTTAAAGTAAACAGAAAAAAAAGACTATGCCAGTAGGTCACTGTAAGCTCTTTTCCTTATACCGGGGTATTATTTCTTCCAATTAAGATAGGATACCAGATTTTATTTTTGATAAGGAGAAAGAGAAAGGCATGGTGTATGCAAGCTTGCTCACTTAAGGTTCTTTAATTCTATTGTTGTTATAACCTTTGATCATTGTTTTGTTTTAGTGTGTTTAATATTGACACTAAAATCTTTGGCACCAAATATATGATTACAGCCAAAATATATCAATTGATAGAATACTTAAATGAGTGTATAACCATGTAAGAATAGGACACATTTAGTAAATGTTTAAAGTCTGTAATCTGCTGAGTCTGACTTTAAATATCAGTAAGGTCATCTTTATGTTCCATAGAAACATTATGACAAATGTCATCTTTATCTTCCATAGAAACATGACGACAAAGGTATTTATCTTCCATAGAAACATGACGACAAAGGTATTTATCTTCCATAGAAACATGATGACAAAGGTCATCTTTATCTTCCATAGAAACTTCCATAGAAACATGATGACAAAGGTCATCTTTATCTTCCATAGAAACATCACGACAAAGGTATTTATCTTCCATAGAAACATGATGACAAAGGTCATCTTTATCTTCCATAGAAACATGATGACAAAGGTCATCTTTATCTTCCATAGAAACATGACGACAAAGGTATTTATCTTCCATAGAAACATGATGACAAAGGTCATCTTTATCTTCCGTAGAAACATGATGACAAAGGTCATCTTTATCTTCCATAGAAACATGATGACAAAGGTCATCTTTATCTTCCATAGAAACATGACAAAGGTCATCTTTATCTTCCATAGAAACATGATGACAAAGGTCATCCTTATCTTCCATAGAAACATGACGACAAAGGTCATCTTTATCTTCCATAGAAACATGACGACAAAGGTCACCTTTATCTTCCATAGAAACATGACGACAAAGGTCACCTTTATCTTCCATAGAAACATGACGACACATGACGACAAAGGTCACCTTTATCTTCCATAGAAACATGACGACAAAGGTCACATTTATCTTCCATAGAAACATGACGACAAAGGTCACCTTTATCTTCCATAGAAACATGACGACAAAGGTCATCTTTATCTTCCATAGAAACATGACGACAAGGTCACCTTTATCTTCCATAGAAACATGACGACAAAGGTCATCTTTATCTTCCATAGAAACATGATGACAAAGGTCACCTTTATCTTCCATAGAAACATGGACAGATACTTTATTTTCCATTAGTACACCCAATGACATATTGTATCATGTTAATTCCAACTGACTATTTTGTTTAACCCATGTTGTGTTTATAAGTTGTTCATTATTGATGAAGAGGTTTCCAACTAAGACCTTGGGGCTCTTTTCACAAAAAATCTTATGACTAAAATTCTAAAATTGATCATAAGTCATAGGCGGATCCAGGGGGGGGCCCGGGCCCCCCTTTTCGTGGGAAAAATTTGGTTGATAATATAGGGAATCACTGAAGCATGACTGGAGCGGGGCCCCCCCTTAGGTCAGTCAGCGGGCCCCACCTTATGAAAAGTTCTGGATCCGCCACTGTAAGTTATATTGAAATGTTCATGATTTTTTGTTAAGTCGCTGTATTATAAATATACCAATGAATAAGGTAAAGTAATATCTGCAGCATACTATTTTTACTCTCATTTTTTGTGTTAAATTCAAATTAAATTTGTGAAAATTAATTTTCACAGTTTTATGAGTTTATGCTTTATCTTATTGATTTTTCTTTTGTGTGTTGGTGTACTAATTCATGATTTATTTTCATGTTATTTATTTAACCCCAAAAGTTATAGGCATCACAAAACAATTTTAAGATTCTAAATAATTTCTTTCAAAAGCTTTTATTTATGAACATTTTTGTTCTTGCCATAGCATTAACTTCTAAGTAAAATTTTCAGTGACCAATTTTTTTCCATCTTTGAAAATAGAATTTTAAACTCCCTTCATTATAAAAGATTTGTTTGAAATCCATCTTCACTAGTGAGTAATTAAAAAGGCTGTTAGTTTTCCTGTTTGAATTGTTTCACAATTTGTCATTCCAGAGCCTTTTATGGCTTACAACACAATTGCTTATTGTTAAATGCTGTACATTGACTCACCTTCATATGATGAAGACATAATCTTTCAATCAGTTTAATTGAGGTCTGGAGCTGGCATGTCAGTAACTGCTAGTAGTCCTTTGTTCATTTATGTATCATTGTCATTTTGCTTAGTTTCTTTTGTTACCTTTTCTGACATCGGACTCGGACTTCTTTTAAACTGATTTTTACTGTGCGTATTGCTATGTGTTTCTTTATTCTACATTGGCTAGAGGTATAGGGGGAGGGTTGAGATCTCACAAAACATGTTCAACCCGGCCACATTTTTGCACCTGTCCCAAGTCAGGAGCCTCTGGCTTTGTTAGTCTTGTATAATTTTTAATTTTAGTTCATTTATATGTTTTGGAGTTTAGTATGACGTTCATTTTCACTGAACTAGTAAACAATTTTATTTAGGGGCCAGCTGAGGACCACCCCTGGGTGCGGGATTTTCTAGCTGCGTTAAAGACCCATTGGTGGCCTTCTGCTGTTGTCTACTCTTTGGTCGGGTTGTTGTCTCTTTGACATATTCCCCATTTCCATTCTCAATTTTATCACCTATAACTGCTTACATCCATGTCCTTATGTCTGTGATGTATAGTTGTCTCATTGCCAATATTACCACATCTTCTTTATTTTCATATTGCAGCTATCATTTAATAAAACTTAAAACAAAAAAAGTTGCTTTTATTTCAACTGTAGTAAACTAATTTCTGATTAAAAATATAAGATATAATAAAAAGGCAAAGATTGTTCACTTGCTTACAAAATCTAGTACAATCCAATATCAAATGTAGAATAAATCACTATCACAGCTTGCACATTTTCCCAAAACATTTCTGAATTTATGACAGATTATTTCTTTTTCTCTTAATACTAACACAAATAAATCCTGAATATACCTGAAAACTCGTCATCTAATATAAATCTTTGTCAAACATAAAAAAATAATATTTAATTTTATTTATTCCTTCAATCAAAATGTAAAATAAAACACCAAATAAGTTGGAATATTCTAATTATAGAAAAAATAAGATAGAAAATTAATTAATGAATAGTACAAAAATTATTGGCCTTTGGTATGTCTATGCTATTCCAAAAAAAAACTATTGCAGAAAAAAAACATCTATTCTCCACTTCTACACACATCAAAAAATGGAAAACATGTATCAAATATAACAATTAACTCTTGTATATTAAACTTCTATTTCTAATTTTCTCCATATCTTATTTACAAGGTCATGTTCATCTCCTTTAACCATCTAAGTCCTTCAACAGTGTCCCCTAAAACATATCAAATTCAGAAATATAAAATAATGTCTATTATATAAATAACACATAGATGAGAGGGTGATAGAGCAGATTGTTACACCAAGAAAACATTGTCAACAGAGGCAAAGTTCTATCATCCTCTCAGATATGTATTATTTAATTTATTGTACTAAATGTTCTGTTGTTATTGTATATTAAATTTCAAATTCAAAGTAATATACTATGACGTCTTGTACATACTATCCTTATTTAATAAAGCACACACTTGATTAAACGTCTCTGTGAAGGGTAATAAGAGTATTTGCCATGGGATAGAGTAAATTATTTCCCTCTTATCAACAAATCAGAATCTGGCATTTTGACATGAAGTATAATAAAATATAATAACTCATAAAAGGATAACAGGAATTACAAACTATATTGGGCAGTACAACAGAGCAGGAAATGCTGCTAAACACATACCATATACCATTTTTTTCTTTTTCTTATTTAGATAATCATTACAAGAAAGGAAAAACAGTGGTAAGCAATAATGCAATAAAGATGAGACACATAGAATAAACAATGTTGAGATAGAGGTCAACATGACAACAATCCAACAGCAAAAGCTACCAGTAAATGACTAGATGTAAACATACAGTTTTAAACAATTGACAGGTGTTTAATACAACATGTCAAGTTATAAATCAATCCAATCTGAAGAAATTTAACTATCTAAGATTTGCAAAAAAATAAAAAATAAATTTTATGATGAGATTTCTTGCCTGTCGTAGGAGTGTATTTTCCTTTTTTTTTCTTAGACAATAGTGTTCAACCAAAAGATGTAGTAACCTAAGCTAGCATCCTGTAGTGGCCAGCACATTTTGACGTTTTTCAAATTATGTGCTGTCAAATATTTCCTTGCTAAAGTTAGATGTTATCCTGTTGTTAAATACTGTGAAAATTTGTTATTGTGTATAACTTTACAACACATGGTTTAGATAGGCTGTAATAATGATATATTTGCTTACATTCGCTTCATTTGAACATTGATGGATAGTTGTCTCATTGGCACATACCACATCTTCTTATTTTTATAAAGGGGATATTTGGGTCACATAAGACTTGTTTAAACCTCCCCACATTTTTGTGCCTTTATAAATGAGTACTATACTATACTATAGGCTTCTGTTAGGCAAAATAAAATATAGTTGTATTTCCTGTCTCCCTACCTACCCTAAATTTTCATGCCTAGCCAAACACATATTACAAACATTTTTGGTTAAGAAAGTCCAGACTTTTTTGGTAAACATAGTAAAACTCTATTAGAGCCAGAACATTTCTCTATATAGTCTGTCTATGTAAAATATTGAGGAAAATAAAATAACTTTACCTACCTACCTTTTTTTTTCTACCATGAGACAGGAAACAAGTATATACTTTTGTTGGCCTAATGATGGTTGCTGATGCTATTCTTCTTGTTTTAAAAATTGAAAGTTTACCTTTTGGCATGTATTCCAAACCAACATAACCATCATATCCATGGTCTTCTAACAGTTTGAATACATAGGAATAATCCACTTCTCCTTGAAATCCTGGTTCAGTTCGATCTGGTGCTTGTGCTACTTGTATATGACCTAAAAATAGTGTTACAAAATTACAATAATGTATAAGGTACAATATAAATTCTCTTTGCTAAGACCATTGATTCAGCATCAAATTACAAGTCAGCATATATTGTAAAAGATTGTGATTTAAATACCCGGTGGTTTAAGTTTGTTCTGGAAAAAAGACAGCACCAGTCTGATGTCATATATTTAGCCCAGAATTCCAAGACTATTGTCCAGCTTAATACCTGATTATACCCCAAAAAATTGTTTTCTGACTTCTGGCCTACAATTTAGGGAAGGTAGATAGGTAAAATGCTTATGCTTAAAAAATTTTAGAGAGAAATGTTCTGGATTTTGGTGCTTAACCAAAAATGTCCATAAAATGTGTTAAGTTAGGTATAGAGGCAGGAAACAATTATATTTTTTGAGCCTCACTATAAGAGCTGCCAGACTAAAGTAATATGAAAAACATTGGGTAGTGATCTGTATTTTCAGAGATGATTACGATAATTTCTATTTGTCATTTATTTGGATTTCATAGATTTATTTATTTTCATTTATATTATTGCATTTAGAGGGGATGAATATTTTTCATTCAAACACATGTTTTATTGATGAAAAACCATTTTGCTTACTTTTCAAAAGTTATTACAGTATATTATTTTCAAAATCTTGATAAGTAATTTATGGAAAATCAATTTTAGCTGGTCTTATAAGACTCTCAGTTGCCTTGGTTATTAGAAACTATTGGTTTTCCGTTACAATGTGATTTATGGTTTCATTTAATTGAATCATTATTTTACTTTTTCAGCTGTAAGTAATTTTGTTTCACACAAATCTTTTTGTAGTATGACTTGACCTTAGACCAAATGACTTTAAAATAAACTAGATATCATTGAGATGGGAGCCATCTCTGTGGGCCCCGCTGTGAATAATGTGTGGTAAAAAATTTGTATCTTTATCATTGGACATGGGGTTGTCAACTGAAACCGAAGTTTATGACCTTGACCTTTGACCTAGGAAGTTGTACATAAATTATGACACACCCTCTAGTGTTGGTTTATATACATGTCAAGTATAAACTTTGTAATCATAACGGTTCTCAAGATATGGAGCGGACACGATCTTTACCATAGGACATGTGGTTGTCAACTAAAACCAAAGTTTTTGACCTTGACCTTTGACCTAGGAAGTTGTACATACATTATGACTCACCCTCTAGTGGTTAATATACATGTCAAGTATAAACTTTGAAATCATAACGGTTCTCTAGATATAGAGCGGACACAATTTGTTACGGACGGACTGATCACTATAGGGCATCCGCCATTCGGCGGGGCCCTAATAAGGATCTTCTTCATCTTATAAAAATATGATCACATATCCAAGTAAGGTTGCAACCCCTTTTAATACATCCTGAAACCACTTTTCTGCACAAATTTCTGTCCCTCCTCCCCCACTTCTTCATAGCAGGGTATAAATACTCATCAAAGTTACGAAGCATAAACCATTGAATGCCAGACACGCAATTCGTCTATATAAGGGACTGACATCAAAAGTCTAGGGAAAAATCAAATCAATTCTTTAAATTGAATAGTAATGAAACAATAAAAATAAGATAGTTGTTCCAAATCTGGCTAAGGACTTAAGACAGAAATTAATTTAAATATACAATAAACCTTCATTTTAGTTATTCGTGTTTAATAATAATTTAATTTTGGATGTAACACCTCTTCTGATTGGCTGAAAGTTTTTTGTCTATCAGCTCATAGACATAATTTTGTCATGTGACCATGATGTCAACTTTTCTTCATGATTTACTCCTTAAAAATGGAATTAAGAATTAAATTCTAAGGACTGACTGTAATAATTTTCTGTCTATTCCAAGTAACCTCAAAAATGTGCTGCACATTTTAAATAACCCGCTCAGTGGGTTATTCAATATTACAGTCATTCATTAAGTAACTTCTCATTGTATAAATTGGTAAAAACTGTGATAGCATTTTTTCCTTGCCTGCTGAAGAATTAAAATGTAATTACTGGTATATCAATAATAATAAATTTGTATGACCTACAGTAATTGTCACACTATCATAACATACCTATATATGGATAATATTTCTTAAAATTCTCTGTAAAATTTCCATGTAACAACTGCATATGAAAGAAATCCTGCAACATACATGTATAATAGTATGGTAAGAATTATTCAAAGATAAATTATTTAGACAGATCTTAAAGATAAACTTTTATAGTTTTATTCAACGTTGAACACATTTGAAAATAAGAAATTCTGAATTTATAACTCAATAAATAGTTGTCGATTATCTTGCCTTTATTTAACATACTAGTATGCATTTAGAAACTGACATTTACAAATGCCAATATTGTAAAATTTAAAAGTTGTCAAAATTCCATTGCAACATTGCAATGTACAATACCAGTTATCTAATGTTAGTTCATGAGAAGTCTCTCATGGATTACTACATGACCTTCTTTCATTTAAGGGGTCCCTGTACTTTAGGTTTAGGGTTCAGTGTACATTAAGGATTAAGTTAGGGTTTTTTTTTAGGTTTGGGTTAACTCATAGGGTAAGGTTTTAGGGTTAGGGCTAATGTTAATGTATTGAGAAGGTTATTCTAGTATATCCCTATGTAAGTTTGGAGCCCTAAAGTAAATGAAGGCTCATTCTAGACATAAAAATTGTTGTTGTTCACAAAATATGTATATAGTCATACCATTTTCAAGGCTGCTTTCAACCTTGCTTTTCTTTTGTCAAATTTTCTATGGAGATCTTGCTTATGTCATGTGATTGTCTGTTTGTTTGTAAATATCAAAATGAAAAAGTCCTTTCTTTGGCAGTTAAAGATAGCCTTTGTAGGAAGACTTCATTACTTTTATATACATTTCATGATAACTCCCACACATGTTCCTTCAAAAAGAAATTTGTCATTGAAAATAAATGAGTACATGTACTGCTTAACTTAAAGTACATGTACATGTGCCACTAAAGACAACTCTAGATGTGCTCTTGACTTTGCTGTAAGGTGTAAATTCAGAAACTGTCAAGTTAAAGAACAACAATAAACTTGCTTTTCATTTGTCTTTCAACTAGAACTGTGAATGATCTTTCAAAAGGATACACCCTGCCCAACAATATAATTAGTGATCTGTAGTAAGTAAATTCAATTATCTCCCCTTTTCATATTGGACCAGGATTATATTCCTTTAAGCACATCCTCAGGTATTATTCTACAACTGTATTAAATTTCATCAGTATCTATCTGTCTGTTTTGGAGGAGTTGTACTTACAAGGCATAAGGAAAAATGGATGGACTTGGGCAGTTCCTCCACTCCAACCCCCCCCCCCCCCCCCCCCCCAAAAAAAAAAAAAAGGCAACCAACAAACAGATGAAAGGAAAACCTGTGATTATTGACACTCATAAACTTACAAACTGTAACTTCACATTTGGTCTGTTAAGTTTCTTTATTATTTCTACAGCTGAAAGGAAATAATATATTTCATTTATCAAACTTGCTGAACTTACTACATACAACTTTCAAGTAATTTGATTTGATAATTTTTATATTCCAGTGTTTACCTAGACCATTATCTAGTTGGATCATGTTTAACTTATCATACAAAAAATCTGGGAATTTTAACAACAAATAAAACTACTGATGACGGTATTCCAGTTCTAAAATTGAATGAGCAAGGTTTTTAAATTTTGATGGGATTTGTGTTGCTCAATCTTTAGTTTTCTGTGGTATGATTTGTTATTGTTATTTGTCTTTTCGTTGTTTTGCTTATGACCATGATGTTATCAGTTTTTATTGGAATTATGTTTATTTGATTGCTCCCCTCTGTCATCTCCCTTTTTTACATGATTTAAAATAAAAAGAAAAAAAAAAGGTTCCAAATTTCAAGAAACCTCTTCATAAACTGTCAATGGGATATATACAACAAGGTCAGCAATAGCTCAAAGTGTGTCTATTCTTGTATTATGGTGTTGTTGGGTTGCTGAATCATTAGCATATACTTAAACATATCTACACATTAGCAACATATCATTATATACAACACAGTTCAGTTTGCCACTGAAGAACATAAAAAAAATTATATTTAATAACTGTCCATCCTCTAAAGGACTGAGTTGTAAGTTGGGTTCCAATTGGGCTGTGGTATCAGATAAGATTTGTAAAAAGGTAACAGAGGCCAAGTTATATAAATGGCTCAGTTGATTGATTGATTGTTGGTTGCCTAACGTCTGGCTCAGTTGAAGTATCTAATAACAAATGAATAATCTATTCAAGTTTGTGGTTTATTCTTAGCATTAAAATACATTGAAAGAGATATTAAAACAACAATAAGTTTTAAAAAATATTAGTTCAACTGTTTCATATGAACTTGGTATGAATTGATTCCATTTACCTTTATGAACATCGGTTAAATAATATCCTGGAATAGTCACACTGTCATTAATTGGCTCAAGCATACATGTCAGTCCTTCCTGTGAAAGTAAAGAAAGAAAATTTTTGTTGTAAGTTGAGAACATTTATTTCTTTATCATACCCTATTTATGCAAATACATGCAGAGACTTGCATTTTGTTTTACAACCAAAACCAAACATGTATTTACCAATTTTGGGCGAGATTCTGCTGAAAATTAAGTATCTGAATTAAAAGTACTGGGTGATTCTAGAGCAGGCAGACAGTTAGTTGCTGAGAGTACCATTTACCCAGTAATAGGTGCATTCAGATGAGAGTATCATTTACCAAGTAATAGGTGCATTCAGATGAGAGTATCATTTACCCAGTAAAAGGTGCATTCAGATGAGAGTATCATTTACCCAGTAATAGGTGCATTCAGATAAGAGTATCATTTACCCAGTAATAGGTGCATTCAGATGAGAGTATCATTTACCCAGTAGTAGGTGCATTCAGATGAGAGTATCATTTACCCAGTAATAGGTGCATTCAGATGAGAGTATCATTTACCAAGTAATAGGTGCATTCAGATGAGAGTATCATTTACCCAGTAGTAGGTGCATTCAGATGAGAGTATCATTTACATGGTAAAAGGTGCATTCAGATGAGAGTATCATTTACCCGGTAATATGTGCATTCAGATGAGAGTATCATTTACCCAGTAATAGGTGCATTCAGATGAGAGTATCATTTACCCAGTAATAGGTGCATTCAGATGAGAGTATCATTTACCCAGTAGTAGGTGCATTCAGATGAGAGTATCATTTACCCAGTAGTAGGTGCATTCAGATGAGAGTATCATTTACCCAGTAATAGGTGCATTCAGATTGATAAAGGTTTATAACATACATTTTGTCAGAATAATTTTCTGTTTTCATATGTTGTAATTTTTATAAAAAAAAAAATGTTTTCAACTCTTCAGGTTATAATGAATTTAAAAAGTGTCATGTGAATAAAAAATTTGGCCAAATTCTTTCCCATTTAGGAAAACTTAATGTTAAATATAAAATTGAGAATGGAAACAAGAATGTGTCAATTAATGTGCATGTATTTTATATAAATTGCTTATTTTCGAGCTTCCCATCCCATATCTCCCATGAACATGTAATCGATTCTATTTCTATAAATCAAAGTTTTCTACTCTTACTTTTGCAAATTTATCAGCAATCAAGGCAATATTCTCTAAATAAGTCTCATCACATAGCTTCTGGTCCAAACCTTTTGTCACACCTGCCATTACATGGATTCTGAAATAAAAGTTCAAATGTTAATAATCCTTTACCAAACAATCAAGGTCATATTCCTTAATGAAAAAGGTTTAAATCAGTTATTGTTCTTCGCACTGTTTCTCAATTTCGTTTAAAGCTTACCAGTACTACATGCTATACTATTTTGCTCATTGTTAAAGTCAGTACTTTATGATATAGTTCTGACATATCTTTGGATAAAAGTAATTGAATTAATTACATTGGCAATGTAATTAATTACATTTGAAAATCAATGTAAAAAGTCTTTACTATTCATTACTTAATGAAAAAGGTTTAAATCAGTTATTTTTTCTTTGCACTATTTCTCAATTTCATTTCAAACTTACCAGTACTACTATTTTGCTCATTGTTAAAGTCAGTACTGTTTACATCCTTGTCTTTTGGTCTTTGCTGGATAGTTGTCTCGTACCACATCTCCATATTTTGTTATTTCGAATAAACTCTGTTTGTACTGATTTCAGGTAACTCTCATTTTAAAATTTAGGTCACAAGAAAAACTGTACACATTATATCTTGCTTTCAGTAACAAAATAAAAATTAAAACAACAGTTATTACATATCTTTACAATCTTTTTCATGTAAATACATTATTACCTTAACTACTTTAATTTATTATATTACATGCATAATAAGTCTTACAAGAATGTATCACTTTACCTTTTGCAATCCAAAGCTTTGGCATACTGTATATTAATGTCAACATTATCTTGGAATTCTTTTTTTCTGTCAGGTAATGCTGCAATGCCTCTATCACCATTTCTAACGTCACCTTTAATTAGCAAAACACAAAATTATTGTAAGTAAAAAAAAAACACAATATTAATGAACAAAAATAATAGAAAACTCATGAAATATAGTTCTGTGACCATGTCTAAGTGCTATGCTGTTGAAGTTAGATCCTCTTCAGGTAGATTATGTACTATAAACATGCAGTCAGGGGTATGACTTGTGCAAATCAGTTTTACTAGCTAGTTCAGCACTTAAACTAATTTTTGAGGTCGAGCTATCTCCCTTAGTCAACCAGATTTATTTTTTTTGAGAACTTTTAAAGTTAGCACTTAGAAATTAATATTTTCTATTCTTCTTCAATTTCTCTTCATTACATCATGTACATTGTTCTAATAGAGTGTTTTAATGACCATCGTTAAAAGTTGTCTTTACTATTCATAAAAGTACAATTCCATGGGCAATGAAAATATCATATGTCAATAATTGTCAAAAAAATGCATATTTGAAAGTCTCAGTAGAAGGAAATATTGGTTTTAATCACATTGAATATACATCATAATTTTTTATATATCGATCAACAGCAAGAATAATTCTTGAACTTCTTAATGATATCCCATCAAATACACTATTTGAAAAGGTTTCTTGTCTCAGATTAACAGATTGTTTAATCTACCATAAGGCCTTATTTATATATACATAGATGTTCATAATTATGGATCTCTAGAAGAATATCTGTGAAACAAAATCTTCTATATAACAAATAGTAAAGGAATGCAACTTATTATAAGATCATGCAATTACAACTTTACTGAATATATCAAAGGCAAGAACAAACACATTTAAAAGGTCTTTAGCATTCCCCGAGTGGTCCAACTATATGGAATAAAATAAGCTTCCAGAAGCACTGTTACACATGTCAAATAAAAATACTTTTAAATCAAATTGGTTTAGATTTTTACTGCATAATCCAGGATTTATTAAATGATGTATTTTAAATATCAATAATTTCTTCTGTATAACTTATAAGGACTGTTTTAGCATGTTTAGATTTAAACGGATGGGGGAAGGGACGCACGTTTTTAGACCCCCAACCATGTTAAATTTTATCTTGTCTTGTTATTTTTTAAAAAGTGGAAAGAAAATGCAGTCACCCACAATTTATTAATTTGCGTGCCCTTGAGGTTAAATTCAACAATAACTATTAAAGATATGCAGTAATAATATATGTCATGTTCAATATAGAATTTTACAAAATTTCAGAGTTGTACTCTTTGTCTTTTTGTAGTTTTAAAAATATAGACAGAAGTAAGTGGTATATCACATCATAGATATAATAGCCATAGATAAAGTACTGGACCCACATCAAAAGCAGATGATATTTGCCGAAATTTTATCACCCTCTTATTATATACATGTCACGCTTGGTGTCAATTGCCGTCGATCCATATCTAATAAATTGTGAATCGGGAGACTTTTAAACACACGAATGTGCTACGTAATGAATTTTAACCATAATAAAAAAAACGACTTTTTTTTTAACTCTGCCAGGTCCAAAGCTCGGATAAAATAGGAGGGAAGTCATGAGAAGTAAATACATGTATTGTAAAAGCGCAAATGTCCTATATGAAAAATGCAAATGTCCATTTAAAAAAGCACAAACGTCCCGTCGCAGCGGCTGGAAGGGATATATAGCTGAATTTATAGTACGAATCACACCTCTAACACAATTGTAAGAAGGAAGACGAAAAAACCATGAATGACAAAGGACAAAACTCCTATATTTTCATTTTATCATAGCCATTATAACGCTTAATCTATATATTGTTTACTTCAAAAATGAAATAGACAATCAGATTATACCACCATCTATTTAATAGCAAAACAAGCACAAAAATGTTAAGCGGAAAGGTATATAGAAGAAACAAATTCAGAGACATGATTGTGCTATTTCCCAATTATTTAATGTATTCAGTGTGTCCACTACATACGTTTTCTTCACCAAACGGCGTTTAATAAGTTTATAATGTACTCCTTTTTTTCTCTTTATTTTCTAAAACTTCGTGTTACGACAGAAAGTTTCAACACTTGTAAAAATCTTTTTTCTTTTCTAAAAAATAATCATTTCTTCTTTCTGGCATAAAATATGATTACACTATTTTGAATCTCGATAAAAAAGAAATTTCTTTAACTTGCCATAGAAAAATTCGACCAGGTTCGACCTCTTAACCATGTATACCATCAGTAAACGATATGTCTCCTCTTGTCAATGATACAGGTCTTATTTTCCGAGTGCAACCGATGCAAGTGCTATGACAATTTAATTTTACATGCCTATTAAGTCCATTTTCCATGATTTCTCTATTTTATTATTTCAACAACAGCATCACCTTTTCATTTGTTGGCCGATTTTCTCCAAATAAATTACAATCCGAACAACTTTTACAACCAGATGCTTTATATTGCTTCTGTGTCACAGTATATTATTACTTGAGACAGGTAACGCATATTAATTAACGGTTGATAAGACGAGTGCCCGATAATTTAAATATAATTATGATAAGTAATTAGTCTATTGAGAGGATGTCGGCAAATATCATCTACATCATAGGCCACTACACGCAGTATACGCATTGCCCTGCTTTTGATATTTCAAAGGAAACAACATGGGGCTCAGTGTGACAAATTCTGAGTACTTTATCTATGGCTATTATATCTATGATCACATGTACTAGATTTTGACCTTAGAGGAACCTTAACAGTTACAGAGGATAAAAAGAAAATTTAGTGACTGAAATATGACATGCCTGGATAGCCATTAAATAAAACATGCTCTAGTCCTAATTTCTTATTGACATTTTGTAGCTGTTCCTTTGGTTCTGCAAATGGAAAAGCGCATTCAACATAATGGAAACCCGCTTTCTTCGCTTTTTCGTAGCGCTCTGATATGGATTTGGCTTCAGGAAAGAGCGTAGTTAAATTAGCTGCTAGTTTAAGAGGCATTACATCTGTTTGTATGTTTCTAACAAACGTAACACCTAATTTATGCAGAACTGTCAAAGTTGCAGACGATTTCACAGGTAACATGTGCTGTTAAGTTGGACCGGATGTTTACATTATAAAAGCTGGATCTTTTGGAAGTTTTCTTACACGTAATTTATCCTTTCAAAATAAAGCCTAAAGCTTACATTGAATGACTTTTGTGAAGTAATTTCTCATTCGACAATATTTTTGATTTTATCCAATTACAATGCGGGTATTGCCAGGGTTTAGGTAAAACTACAAAAATGGATGAATCATAGATATTTTGCTCCCTGAATCTTGAAATCGAAAAGTGCCTGAGTAAACATAACCAGAAATTTATGTAAAAAAGGTGAGAGCTGTTTTTGTAAGTGGCTAGACATCAACATTGTCAAATTTATAAAAACTTTATGACATTTCCATAGATGGACTAAGTCTAAATATCCTTCTTACTTTTATACTTATAATTTACATGGAAAGGTTTTTCTGGTTTGACTGCACAATGAATCCATAACAAAAAGCCTGTAAAATTCTTTTGGGAAAATTTTTAATCAACCACCACACCTACAATTCTGGCCGTTAATTTTGTTTGTCTGAATAATCGTTCATTTATCATAATTTATGTTTACAAACTCATCACATCAAAACTATTATAGGTTAATATTAAGCTACACATGTAATACAAGGAAAACTGGTATCTTCATCTACAGAATACCTCTTTGACTTTAATATGTTGAAGATTACAAGAAGTCACATTCATGGTATATCAATTCAGCTTTCAAGACGTTTTGGCCACACTACCAGTTCAAAATGTTGAAGATTACAAGAAGTCACATTCATTGTGTATCAATTCAGCTTTCAAGACATTTTGGCCACACTACCAGTTCGACAACAGGTCGTTTCGGCCACACTATAAGATTGGCTACAGTTGTTTCAGCCTGAGTTGATTCAGTAATACTTTTTCATATTGTTCTTAACATGCATATATAACTTATGCATTAATTGTTTTGACAGAAATTTGTTTTGAAAAGAAATATTACTTAAACAAAAGTGATTCTGCCATAAAGTGCATCTGCTCTGAAACAAGAGGACACACGACTTTCTTATGTCACACATGATTAAGACATTAATAATGTTTCCATTTGACTTTGGTTTGATTAATTTATTTTTTATAGCAAACTGAGACATTTGTTCCATTACAAAAACTTGTATGAGAAACATGGTCACCAATGGTATTCATACTTCTGGTGTGCTGATTCCATTTTTAACAGAAATATGTTTGATAATGTGCCATCCTCTTATTGAGTTGTTTCATCTGCATTCAAAATCTCCTTATTTCTATATGGTTTGTTGATGTGTCAACATGGAGTAAAAACCTCAATTCTAATTACTGTAAACATATTTTATTTAAGAAATCGATATAATATATAGCTACAAGGGTAAAGACAAATACGAAATATACAAGAGATTCAATAATTGGGATTAGGAAACAAGAGCAATTGAAGATGACAAATAGTACCAGTCACTTTTCCTCTGCTGAAGGGAAAGCTCAAACGAGAGCAGCAGTTAAAATATACATACAAAGGTTCCAATTTTCTTTACATGATGTCACAATTTCTCTGGTGAAGGGAAGGTTTAAACAAGAGCAGAGGTGAAAATATACATGCATGCAAAGATAAAAATAAGAAGATGTGGTATGATTGCCAATGAGACGACTCTCCACCAGAGACCAAATGACATAGAAGTAATCAACTATACATGTAGGTCACTGTCAGTGTTCCCGCCTGCCCTAAATAGAAGGGCGGCCCGCCCTTGGTGCCCTTACCCCCGCCCTTCTGCCCTCCAAAGCAAAAGAATGCACCCCTCTGCCTTTTCAAAAAATTAAAATTTCCAAATTTCATGCCTATCGGCGTTTCCGGTAAAATTGTTACCTGATTGTGTAACACTAATTAACTGACAATGGGATTAAGTTAAATACCTAATGCCTTTAACAGTTTTATCACCTTTGTTAATGATTGTTTACTGCTAATTAGTGGATTTAAGATAATTGAAGAAATACTAGATATTTAATACAGAATGAAATGTCCACATGTTATCCATTTGTAATGTTTATGTACAGCATGTACACCTGAAAAAATGTATTTCAGTAGGCATAATATCAAAAATAAAATCTAAAACAATTTTAAAGGCACACATAGTATTGACTTAGTTAGTAAAAAAATGTTTTGTTTCATAACCATGAGTATGAAATTTAAAGAAGAATCAAAGAAATTTGTACTTTGAACATAACAAGTTTGCACCACTTCCTGTTTTACTTCTTGTATTTTATAATCCTCCTTTCATAGGAGCACTCAACAAATGCTTTTATTTTTAACAATGATGGAGAAAAAAGTAACTGTTTATACCTTCTGCAATATATGCAATATATTATTGTATCAATATAATATGATCATCTCCTGTCTCACCTGTTATATTTATAAAACTCCTTACTTAGGAGCACTTTGGTGTGCACTTAAAAATATTTTTTTGTAACAATTGAAATGATAATAAATCACTTTAATAACAATATACTATATGTTTGTTCAAGCAATTTAAATGTAGATAATTTAATTAGATTAAACATTCAATTTTGCATATATAACTCCATCTTTCAAAACATACTTGTTTATTTTTGTAGACTGGTATAAGTTATAAAACATTGAAATTTCTGATAATTATTTTCCTTATCAAATGTACAAGTTTGTCTAGATTAACATCAAAATGATATGCTTTGCTTCATGGTATGATAATTTGATAAAAAAAATTCTTACTGGAACCAACATCAAGAACAGATTAATTTCTGAATATGGTTTAAATACAACTAATGTTCTCCAGTTGAGCCTAGCAGTATTCAAGGTAATTATTTATACACTGTCCAACAGTGCCCTTACAATCTAGGTTATTACGCTAAAGTGCCCTTTCAGACAACTAGCACCCTTCTGCCCTGAGATTCAAGCTGGAACACTGACTGTACAGCCTTCAACAATGAGCAAAACCCATACCACATGTAAAGGTTCCAATTCTATTTGTATGATGTCATAATTCAGCTGATGAAGGGAAGGTTCAAACGAGAGTAGCAGTAATGATATACATGTAAAGGTCCGGTTCTTTTTGTATGATGTCGTAATTCCTCAGTTAAAGGAAGGGTTCAAACATGAGAGATTATAGATTTTCAATAAATTTAATCTTCAGCTCACATTCATTTTTACTTTCAGAACAATAGTTAACATGGAACAGAAAGAGACTGATATCTGTAACAAGCAAAAAGATCCAGATAACATCACAGACAGTGTAGAAGGAAAGACACTTTACTCAGACTTTGACAGAAATCTCAACCACCAATTTCCTGCATCAGACTATGACGACCAAGGAGGAAATTATGACCCAATTTCTGAATTATCACAACTTTCAATCGACTCCTTAACTTTAGACAAATTACCTCTTGAACTATTGATACATATATGCAATTTCCTGGAAGCAGGTTTTGTTATTCACACTTTCAGCAAAGTGTGTCAGTTGTTCAAAGACTTATTTGAAGGTGATTCATATTGGATAACCAGAATAAGGAAAAGGTGGCCCAAACCATATCCACCTGTTTCAGGTACATTGTATGATAATTATATATAAATAATACTTTTATATCATGATTGTATGTATCAAAGAGTATCAGTTTGAATAAAGGGTGATCAGGGTAAACATGGTAAATATTATTGAGATATATATATAAATATATAAATAAGCAATAATAAATCCCATATATACATCTTATTTCTTGCAAGATGGAGTTTGTCCTTTTTAATTTGCAATTCTTGCAACTGAAAATTATTAAGGAAAAGTCAATTTAAGATGATTATTGGCTATATATAGGCATTTTTAGTTTAATTCAATATATTTATTCAACCACAGGCCATACCTTTCCTACCTTTAAACATTTATATTCTATCATTTCTTTCAGATGAAGATTTTAATTGGCAAGAAGCTTGTATAGAAAGAGAGAAGTGTTGTCGAGTATGGTCAGATACAAAGAATCAGACAGAATCAATCGTGTATAAAGATACTATATTTGCTCCAGTGGATTCTGTTCATTTGATGGAAGTAAGAGGAAACATTTAAAACTTTGGTATAAATGAAAGAGGGTCTAGATGGGTTTACAGAATAGATAATGAAAAGCCAAAAAATAAAGGATTTAGGAAAGTGGACCCAAAAAATAAAGACTTGAGTAAAATGGTGTGCTCACAGTTATGGTTAGAAAAAAATGAAAAATAGAGAAAAATGACCTATAAAATTATAGAATGCAGAAATTAAGAACTCCCAATCCAGACCCTCATGAGAGGAGATGTTAGGTAAATTTAAATGAGATAGCAACAATAAATGAAAAACAATTATTGCAGACAACAACCAAAGACAACCACTGGACTTCAGATTATAAAATGAGTTCCCCAGTAAGTCCAGAGATCTGACGTCAATTTGCAATCATACAGTACCATTCAAAAGGATCAGCTCTCCCACACCCTACACCAAGGAAAATTTCGGAGTCACTCCGAGAATCTCCAATATTCCTCCCAAAATGTTGGGAGGAATTTAGGAGTAATCTCTCCCAAAATCGCGTAAATGTTAATTGTGATAGCGAGCTCACTCCAAACACCGAGGAATTAATTGCCCTAATCCTACTTTAATCTATGCCGGCACACGACTGATAGGGTAATTGGATAACCTGATGTCATAAACAATTATATTTCCGGTCTACTGTACCAGTTTACATGTAAGTGTCAAACAAGTGTATAATTTTAAATGTCTTTTTATAGTGGTTAAGTTTAATTTTTGTGTTAAAAATAAGTTAAAATATTTTCGTATTTCTTGCTTGCTAATCTAAAAATATCTTTACCTAAATGGACTTGCTTGTATAAAAAAAAACAAACATTTCCGAAAAAGGTTTATAAAATTTTGTGGAAAATGTGGAAAAAAACGCGAAATTCTATTTCAAAGCTGAATAAATGTGAGCAGTTTAAAGAAAATAACGTGTCTCAAAGTTTTGTATACAAGTAAAAAAGAAAATATTATTCACCATTCGTTATGCTTAATAAGTCTACAGCATTTTCTTTTTACGATTATCTAATTGCTTGAAACAAATAAAAGATTTAAAAGCAAAATGTTGTTGTTAGTTCTTTCAATTGCATTAAAGTTTTATAAAAAAACACTTACGAAAAGGGACATACTTGTGTAAAAATAAACGGAAACTACCGCTGATTAAATGTGAACAGTTTAAAGAAAATTACGTGTCTCAAAGTTTTGTATATACAAGTAAAAAAGAAAATATTATTCAACATTCGTTATGCTTAATAAGTCTACGGCATTATCTTTTTACGATTTGTTGGCATTGCTTTAGGATAATAATACATTTCGGCTACAACAGGAATACTTCCACAGCTGCACAATGACTCGTCTTTGCATAATATTTATTTACGCACAATGAATGTAAACTTGTGTGTTGTATTTTGGACAGCACTTGATCTTAAAAGAAATTAATTTGCTGTGGGAAGACAATTCCACGATACACATCTCAGTGTGACTTCGCTCACAATAGTAAATGCTTAAAATAGCTGACATTAATTTTATCCACAGCACGAGATCTTTATATGGCGGGAAATAATATCACGTACCAGTAAACTCAGGTGACCTCTCTGAACATCCGTGGGAAAATTCATTCAGGTTTTTAAAGTAGCTTTGTATTAATGATTGACATTTTTGTACGTTAGTATTGAGGCTCTAGAAGGTCCTTTTACAATTGATTAACCGGAATCTAAAATATAATCCTTTTCCGAATAAACGAACACACGTCTTCTTTAACTATTTTATTTTTTATGTTTTATCAGTCAAAACCTACCTGAACATTAGTTATACGTCCATAGTCAACAATATAAATTTATTGTAGATGAAAACACGATGCATGTCGTTAAGTTGGGCGTTGGTAGAGATCCTCTGTGAAAATATGTAGATCGTTAAAATCCTGTCCACTTATATTTTCTTGTAGCATCTGGGTACGCGATATAATTTCATTTTAATATTTTTTGTATATATATTTGATTTTTTTCTATAGTAATTGTTGCAATAGTTCATTTTATTTCATTTCGCCAAGGACTTTTAACGAGCAGTAAAATACGGATTGCGCTCATCCAATTTTTTTTTTAAATAATCAAAGATCAATAACAGAGATAAACGATGATTTTTTTCCATATAATTAATTAAGTTGTGAATGTTGTGTTGTGTCTGGGCGGGAAATTTCTCTCAGTGTTTTGTTTTCATGAATAAAGGGCATGCATACAAAACTTATTCCCTTTGTTTTCAACCATAGATGTGTCTTTTCGGAATTCAAATAATTCAAGTCGGTCATGTACTGAGGTAGTGAAACATAATATTTTACATTGCAAAATAAATATGCACCTGAAATTTCTTACTGAGTAAGTCATAAAAGATTCTAATTGTGGTAAAATCGTCTTTGTTGAAAGAACTGACCAGACTATAATAGAAATACAAAATAAGTTTTTTCTTCGTATTTTTATTTGTTTGTACGTTTTATTTCAAATGACAATGACATAAGGCAAAAACATATAAGAATAATTATCTTATGCTGAATGATAATGTCACATCTTTATCTGTCAAAGAAAGAAAAACATTTGTTAAAATTTTAATACCGTGTTTTAAAGCACATAGGTGCAATCAAGATCGATTAAATGTACATAGGTAAATAATCTGGCTAATCCGATTATGTTGTCACGCGTCGTTAATTTTTAGGACATCCGATGGGCAATAAACCAATTAACAGCCACAGTGTTGGGAGAGAATCTTTGGAGGAAATTGGGAGTATAATCCGCGGTACGCGGTGTGACTCCGAAAAACACGGAAATCGGAAAAAAACGATCTCGAATCGATTCGTTTAAATGGTACTGTACTAGAAGACTTTGATACACTGACAACCATTAACAAGGTTCTGAACTTGAGTCGAAACTAAAATAAATGACAAAAAGTATAGCAACATGAAAAGTAGTGCTAAAATTATTTTGAATAGCATTACCCTGTTATAAATTGCCTTTATAATTGAAAAGCATACATTTTCGCTAAACTAGTACACATTTTTGTTTAAGGGCCAGCTGAAGCCCACCTCCGGGTGCGGGATTTTCTCGCTGTGTTGAAGACCCATTGGTGGCCTTTGGCTGTTTTTTTTCACTTTGTTCGGGTTTGTGTCTCTTTGACATATTCCCTGTTTCCATTCTCAATTTTATTGCAAGTATTGAAGTACCTGTGTCATACTGATTTCTTTTATTAAGTACAGAAAATATTGAAATGTAGCATAGTAAACATGTTTTGAATACACCAGTATTAACAACTTTTATTCCTGCTGAAACACACATTTTAGATTCTTTTTCTATAGTTGCTGAAAAATTCAATACATGACCAATCTTCAATTACTACATAGTTATGAAAGTGAATTAGAAAATCCTGAAAAGCATCTTAAGATTTTAGTCTCAATAAATACCTTTTATAAAAGGTTTTGTTGACACAATTGCACCTAGTTAATTCAGTTTCACTTAAAGTTCCTTTTTTTTTTGCAACAATATAGAATTAATATAGTAGATTTACATTTTGTTGATAGTTGTTTTTTTCTATTTCAAAATGGCCGTTTTTTAGTTGTTTTATTCTATTTCAGAATGGCAGATTTCTAGCATCAGGATCCCGAGATAGATATTTAACCTTATTAGATCTGTCTAAGTATGACCCTACCACTTCCAAACAGAATGATATGAAAGTGTACGCCAGCGACAAAGCACATAAGGTAAATGGAGACATAATTGATATGGGTTTGTAATGAGTGTAAAGTCATATCAAAAATAAATTTATACAGTAAAATTTGATGCCAATATTTCTTTTGTCATACTTGTTTTATAGAAAGTCTTCTCTCACCATAAACATTAATATCCCATATTTTAGAACTAACCTGCAATAATATCTAACAATGCAGCTTATTCATAGCTTGCAATGGCATTCTTTATCTCTTTCCTAAACTAATTCCAAGCAATTAAGAGCAAGTTATTTTTCCTTTGTGTTGTACTAGTATTTAAAAGTGTCTGAAATTTCTCACCTTTACCCTTAAAACAGTTAAAATTTGAGGATCTTTTCTGTTTAACTAGAGATATTCATAGTTTGTGCATTTAATTTCAATTTGACTTACATTGTGTCTTTTTATTTAGGGTTGGATTTGGTCCCTGACTTCTAATGACAAAACACTCTGCACAGGATCATGGGATAGATACATTAAGACTTGGGATCTGGAAGCAGGTGTTGTAGAAACACAATCATTTAAGTATGAAAATTATTGTAGGAAAATAAATATAAAAGGAGTCTATTTTCGTAACAAAATATTGTCATTTATGGATCAAGTTATAAAAACTATCCCTTTGAAAAAAAACATTAAAATATTTCTCAATAGAAGTTCTTGCATTTACTTATTGTAAAAACACACCTTGTAAACTCATATTTTTTTGCAACTTGACAAATCTGTTTAATTTAAAACAGTTTGAAAAACACACATAAAAACATAGCTGGAAATTTTTTAGCAGAAGAGGTAAAATATTATATAATTATTAGTTTATTACTTATATGTATCTAGAAAAAGCATCTTTTTTTTTATTTGAATTTATCATAGAATTTGTAAAGTAAACGATTTCATTCAAGGTGTCTTTCAGCTATCCTAGGATTACACATAGAAGTTACATGATTTTTGGTTTCGTTTCAGGTGTCGATCAGCTATTCTAGGATTGCATATAGAAGATAACATGATTTTTGGTTTCGTTTCAGGTGTCGATCAGCTATCCTAGGATTACATATAGAAGATAACATGATTTTTGGTTTCGTTTCAGGTGTCGATCAGCTATCCTAGGATTACATATAGAGACTAACATATTATTTATTTCATTCCAGGTGTCGATCAGCTATCCTAGGATTGCATATAGAAGATAACATGATTTTTGGTAGTGGTTTTGATCGGCTAGTATATTCTATAGATCCAAGAGAAAATGTTATTAAAAAGAGAAAGTATCATCGAGGGCCAGTATTATGTTTGGCTGCTGACGAGGATTATGTTGTAACAGGAAGTGAAGATAAAACCATAGCAATCTATGACAGAAGAGCAGGAACAGTTTATAAAACTATACAGGTAAAAATCACTGGTACTAGCGATTTGGGTAGGATTTTGAGATGGTGATTTTGGTACCTAAACCAGTTTAAAGTTCATTATTATTCCAAAAATAGATTGATTGATTGGTTTTTGTTTTTATGCTACCTTAGCACAAAAATAAACAAATGGGGCATGAAGATGTTACTATAAAAATACTGCTGCAATTTCGGACACATTATGTAGTGGTATTCTCAGAGAATATGAAGAAAAAGTTGTTAATCATTTAAGGAAATACTGAAATAGGATAAATTTAGATTTGGAAATTTAAAGTTTAACCAGAAAAAAACTGTCTTTGAACCAATGAAGGGATAATTTGATAATAATTGTAAGATATATTGGTAGTATGATGAATAATCAATGGGAGATAACTACATGGGAAAAATCTTTAAGAAATGGTGTCCTTATCAAGGATTTTCTAACATTTTAATTTCTTGTCACCTCATATGCAAGGTTTATATCATATACAAAAGATAGATAAGTTGTCTGTAGCATCAACTCAATATAGGGAATCAGCGATATGACAAAGATTTTAGCATTTTAATTAACTATTGCATATAACAGGTGAATGAAACAGGGCTTCCAAAAAATATTTGAACCAGCCGGACATTTCTTGTCTTATCCCGATTTCAATCCCTTAAGACTTAGTAACAAAAGGCAAGCATTTTAATCAGTTGGGCATCATATAAACAATGATTGACACAAAAAAAGATTTTAAACTTGACTTTTGATAAAAATTCGTTGTTCTGACGTAAACTGTTCAATTGACGGTGCATCATTCAAAGTGTGCAACATCAGTGTTCTAATATCTGCCTTTAGACTCTTAATTTGTGGAAATTACGCTGTCAACAACTTCGCTTTCCATTTAAAAGAACACATTTGTCTAAAACCGGATGTTGACTTGACAATGGTAAAACATGAACCAGAGACGGATACATAAAATATGTGTACGTTTACAAAGCCTGATTGAGTTTTACATGTTTTAGTAGCTTTTTCCACGTTATTTCAGGAAAATACTCGAAATGAACATTAGATAAAGGTATCAATGATAATTTTTGAATTTTTGAAAAATTCAGATGCATAATTAAACCTAACACTTGTGTACATGCCCACACGTGTACTAGTTCAAACAACGTGGTTCTGGCGATTTTTCAATTACAACCTTTTTTAATTTTTTCATTAAATAATGTTCATATACGTATCTGATAATCTAAATCTTTTTGACTAAATTGATTAGATGCAAACTGCTGAAATTTAAAAAAAATAACTTTTAAGTAAATAGACTGATCATTGACAAGTAAAAGCCATAATAAGCTTGTCAGACGGGACAAGTAAGAAAATAAATTAAATCCAACTTTGATGATCAAAGTAATAAACAAAAAACAAGAAAAGGAGATAAAAACAAATATTAATCTGACATGTTTACTTGCAATCGATGATTTAAAACTGGTTCCTTTGTCAGATACTTATACCAGTCTTACCTGTAACAAGACATTTCAGCACCGGGAAAGAATCAGCTCCATGTTTTATAGACAGTTCAGCACCGCTGGAGACATTTCGGGACCAAGACAAACCAGTACCTCGTTTTCCTACATTGTTATGTTGCTTTATGATAAATATATGATAAATTTTATTTAGCAAAAATATTTTTAAAAGAAAAATGAAGAAATTATTGACCATAAAATCCAAAAAATCATATTTGATCATATTTAGACAAAACAATTTTTGATTGTGTTTGAATAAACATTTTAATATATTAAAAACAAAGCTGATAGTAGTAAGGCACTAATCATAATAATCAACATTTTATCAACATAAAACCAGGATACAAACCAAATGAGTGACAAGCCTACCAGACTTTGCCTGATGTGAAGAGTCTGATGAGACTTTGGCATTGATGAAAACTAGAACCTAAGTCCTGTGACTAGAAATGACTAGATTCAGTTGTTCCCGACTCTCTATTTTTGAAAAGGATATCAAGAGATATAAATCAAATTCTGCTCTAATGTTTTAATTCATTTTGTTCATTGAATCAACCTAAAATGCAAAAAAGTTTAATATAAAGTTTGTTTTTTTGGACAAATCATAATTCCATTCGGACAAGTAAGTTTTGGTATGTTACTTGTCCTATTGGACAAGTTGAAAAAAAAAGTTATTGTAGAGGCCTGCACAGGTGATAACAGGTAAATTTCACCTGTTAGATACTTACATGTAATTAACTTTGATTGTAATGAGAGGGGATTATAGTAGGGCTTGTTTATAGAGAACTGTCACTTTTATGACCAGAAAAGTGTGGCTGTTTAAGGCACAAGGTCAAGTCAAAATGGTTGATTTTTCTGAATCACATGAACGATGAAATGGCAAACCAACATAAAATGTTCGTTTCATTCTTGGCCCAGTCAGACATTGTCCGATAAATTTAAATTTGTCCGGCAAATATGACTATTTTGGAAGCCTTGGTATGAAACCCGATCATTTTCTATACTAATTAAAATAAGTGGATGAAAGATATTATCCCATACCTGTTGTATAACTTCTAATGTGAAGGTTTTATTCGTAACTTTTTTTAATTTCAGTTAGAGAACTATCCTATGAGTTTAAATTTAGGACACCGACAGTTATGGGTAGGAGATAAGACTGGTGGTATACATGTGTATAATACAACTTGTGGACAGTTTAAACACATAGAGGTATGTAACCTATTTCTTGATATTTCAAATAATATTTTTTTAAGAATTAAAGATTTTGTTACATATAGATTTTTTTTTGGTGAAATTTTCATCAGGTGTTTTATTTTTAAGAAAATTTTACCCTATGGTAAAATTGCAACCAATTTTATATATCAACCAGACAGTAAGCAGCCTCATTTGTACAGTAACTTATACATGGGGAAAATATGTGATGATTCATAGTTAACTAAAAGATATGTATGAGTATTACAGCATTTTTTGCCCCCTCTGCTATCCATAGCGGAGGGGGTATTTAGCTTTACCCTTGTCCGTCGGTCTGTCATCCATCTGTACGTTCCGAGATTGGTTTCCGTTCTTTAACTTTAGTTTGCCATAGCCAAATGTTATGTAACTTATACAAAATGCTTATTACCACAAAACTCAGATCATTCGAATTTGTGTGGTTTCACTTTTACCGTTCTGGAGTTATGCCCCTTTATAATGTAATATGCAAACAGGGGCATCATCTGTGACCCATGAACACATTCTCCATTTATTTTTTTATTTCATTGGAACATTGCAAAAAAAGTGATTATGTGATAACCAAGTAACCTCATTATTGGTCCATCAATGCGCCTCCGGGTGCTGGAGTTTCTCGCTGCATTGAAGACCCATTGGTGGCCTTCGGCTGTTGTCTGCTCTATGGTCGGGTTGTTGTCTCTTTGACACATTCCCCATTTCCATTCTCAATTTTATATTAAATTAATATGTTGTTGTTGTTAGTTTGTCATTGATACACTAACAATAATAGAAAGCATGTCACAAGAAAAGGAAATAAACAAGTAGAAGTGGTTTGAAGGTTTACAACCTTTAGCAACTAGAACAAAATGTACACTCTAAGTCAAGCACTAAACGACTAAAAAATTAAACTTTAAGCAAAGCCATTTTAAGAAACAGCTAATATTTATCTCTTTTGTACTCTTTTTTTTCAGAGTTGTGATGTTGGTCATACAGGAAAAGTTACTGGCATCATATACACACCTGGTGCCCTGTTTACATGTTGTACTGATACAACCATAAAGGTTTTGGAACCCAGTTTAAATCCAGGCACCATCAACACTCTGACCTCACATGAAGGAGAAGTTGCAAGGGTAGGTTTTTTGTAAGATTGTTATCTTATTGTTTAAAATCAAACTAAAAGCTAACATGATCAACCTTTCTTTCAAAATAAGAATCTCTGAAATTGCGGGTTTTTTGTGTACGAAAAAATATGATAAGGATGCTTGAGGCTAGCTTTTAAGAATGGTGCTGTGATTTTTTTTTGAGATTGGTAAAAGCATGGTTTTAATCCAAATATAACCAGACAGTGATAGATGAAAACAATGCCACAGTGATTTTTAGTGTGTCACTGGACAGCAAAGCTTAAGCAACACATAGGGGTATCTTCTGATGTCTTGCATCACAGTTTATTAATCTGCAACTTCTTGGTAGCAGCTTAACAGAATACAGCCAAACTTGCTCAGATTTTTTATAGGAAGTTGACCTTTTGCTACAATGTATTATAAAACAAGAACTTAGCCATTTCTACTGAAATTACTCTGAGATTGCGGGCAACACACATCTTCCTTGGAAGACTTATACATTTGTTCTTGGCATTTTTAACTTTTTACTTGGATTAAATTATTATGGAGTTGAATTTTTGCATTCAAATTAAAGTTACAGTCAAAAGTATTTATCATTCAACAATACTGATGATGGGAGTTTTTAACGACCTTGACTGGCTATACAGCTCTCGCATGGTCGGTGAAATTCAACAATAGACAAGTGTCAATGCAATATGTAAAGCTCTAAACAATAGACAAGTGTCAATGCAACAGAGTTCTCGATAAGTGGTGGTCCTAGGGATGTGACCACCACATTTTTGGGAAGGACCAACACAATTTTGGTAATTTGCAATAGAAATGATAGTGAGGACCTGCATATTTTCTTCAAAGACCACCAGGCAAAAAAAGATTTCGAGAACTCTGATGCAATATCTAAAGCTCTAAACAATAGACAAGTGTCAATGCAATATGTAAAGCTCTAAACAATAGACAAGTGTCAATGCCATATGTAAAGCTCTAAACAATAGACAAGTGTCAATGCAATATGTAAAGCTCTAAACAATAGACAAGTGTCAATGCAATATGTTAAGCTCTAAATTGTCTAACACAGTTGTGAATAAATCTAATAGAGACATTAGGCACTAACAATGATTTACCATTAATACCAAATTCTCTAAATGACAAAAACATAAAGTTATAAAAAAAGAAATCCACTGTTGAGGTTCCAGACTTGGAACAGGCAAATGACTATTAGCATTATAAACTTCAAGGTCTTTTTTTCAATCAAATTTGTACGACTATTTTGCTGATTCAGAGTCAGTTAGCTACCTTAGTAAGTTAAACCTGACTTTACAATATATATATTTATATAATTTTGTTTCAGATATCATATCAGAATGGAATATTAGCAAGTGCAGGAAGTGATGTCTCAGTACGGATTTGGAGACCAAAAGATACTTGGTACTAAACTTCTTAAAGACTAGAAAAAACAGATGAAATTGGGAGTAGTGCAAAATTCTGCAATATTAAATACACTGGTGCTTGCTTATGGCTGCTGACAGGGTTGACAATGCAATCTGAATATTTTTAGTCCCAGAACTTGCATCTGTGAAATAGGATTTATGAATAAATTTATAAAATACTTATTGTGATTGCAGAGATAAGCACATAACAAGTTAGATATGTAGTAGTAAAAATTAAAAAGTAAAGGAAAGATTATATTTAGGAAGTGTGATCTGTTATGATGAGGACAGGTTGTTAATGGACCAAGTTTCATCTTTATTGTTTTCATTTTTCTTAGTTTCACATTCAATTGGATCTTACCTATTTCACAGCTAAAGTCTTAATAAATTTACTTAAGTATTAGGTTATCAACAATTCAATCAGTGTCATTGTATGTATAATTATTCAGCCTTTACCGTTATCGTTTGATGGCAAAAGGGAATAATCATATTTTAGACTTTTTTTATTATTGATGATGGACAAGTGCAGGATTGTTATGCTTTCTTGAGTTGATATACCACTGTCTTTTAGTACGGAAAATACAGTTGTGACAAGGATTAATAATGAAGTGAAAAGAATAATGTTTAAAGCGAATGATGATGTAGAAATATATATCAATAAGTTAAGCTTTGCTGTTGAAATTCATCTTTCAAGATGGCAAGCGTTTACCGGACACATTAAAAAAAAATCTACACTCAAGGTAAGTTGCTAAAACATAGCTCAAAATGCTATAAAAACATTGGAATTTTCTTCTTTTTTTTCCTTTGGTGCTTTCCCTTGCAACAATTGTATTTTTTTAAACCAAGGTTTTCTTATGAGATGAAAATCAAGAGTTACCTATGTTTAAAAGGTGACATTTCTTGAGATTTTGAAATATTGTCAATAAACTTAATATTCCAAAATTGCATTTAACATGGTCAAGCATGAAATAATTGTTTTATTAAGAACAACATAACATTATGATGATAATTTACACATTTGTTTGTTTTTTTTGTTAATAATGTATTATGTTTAGGCCTTCAATTCAAGTATCTGTCATGTCTGTGATAATTTTTAGTATGTAACATATATATTGCATAAATATTTTAAACATTTTTGTTTTATTATATGTATTCCACATCCGAATCTCAAACTTATTGCTTTGTCATGTTTAAAATTAATATATGAGATGTTATCATCAATTTTAGATGATTAGCAAACTATATTGTTCATTGCCCCCTTCTATAGTTTGGGCAGGGCTCGACAATAACGCTTGTCCGATTGTGCGGTACCAGAGGAAAAAAAGGTCGGACAAGTAAAAGCTATAATAAATTTTATTTAACAAAAATATTTTTAAAATAAAAAATGAAGAAATTATTGACCATAAAATTCATAGAATCATATTTGATCATATGTAGACAAAACAATACTTGATTGCTTTTGAATAAACATTTTAATATATTAAAAACAAAGCTGATTGTAGTAAAGCATTAATCATAATAATCAGTATTTTACCAACATAAAACCAGGATACAAACCAAATGAGTGTAGACTGACAGGCCTACCAGACTGTGCCTCATGTGAAGAGTCTGATGAGACTTTGGCATTGATGAAAACTAGAACCTGTGACATGACTAGATTCAGTTGTTCTTGACTCATATTTTTGAAAAGGATATCAAGAGATATAAATCAAATTCTGTTCTTATGTTTTAATTCATTTTGTTCATTGAATCAACTTAAAATGCAAAAAAGGTTAATATTAAGACAAGTTACAATTCCATTCCCACAAGTAAGTTTTGATGTGTACTTGTCCTATTGGGCAAGTTGAAAAAAAAGTTATTGTTGAGGCCTGTTGGGTCATGAAATTTATCTTGGAAATGGTTGCTTGATGTTTTTGTTTTTCCAATGTTATTTATTATTCACATTGTTTTAAAATTCTTCACAGAATAAAAACTAGAACATTTCAAAATTGGCTTGAATAATCTCTAGTGAATTTCCTGTTGAAAAAATAATCAAAAATCTGAGCTTCAAGGAGTATACAAACAGAGACTGGTAAATAAAGCCTGGACCACTTGGCACACACATATCTGCGACATAGAATACAGCACCATTTCAGATATGTTCTATGGTTTTTAAGTGCCAGGAAAGAAATCGAAAATCTTGTACCAATGAATTTCAATTGAAAAAAATGTCCTTCAATCTCTTGATAAAGCCCATTTCATTTGAAAGACATTAAATAAAATATAAAAATTTTGAATAGAAGTAAAGAACAAATTCTTAAAATTCATCTGAGTAAAGTTTACGCATATTTATGACAAAGAAACTCAAAAGGCAAGATTCACACACACAATTAAGACTTGAACCCACTAAAACAAAACAGCCAATACAGAAATGTATGCTTTTGAAGTATGTATTTCATATAAATATAGTTAGTCAACAGCTCGACAGCTATCAATTGTGACATGTGAATGCTTTTTGGATCTGTCAGACACTTGCTTCCAGTTTTCTGATACTTTGAATTGTAAGTGTGGGTATGCTTAGCATGTCAACTCAAGCATACTTATTCTGAAACACTGGGCCAATTTTAACCACATGGGCTTAACAGTCTTTGGAGTTTCTTGTAGAAAATATGTGTTTGTGCCTCCTCATCAAGCAATATGGCCACCACAGCTACAAATGGAACATAAGGGGTAAATTGCATATAATTTTTCTTCAAATCAGAAAACGAAAATTTGCCCATGCAAAAATTTACCGAATGCCAACATCTTACTTTACTCATCTTACTTATCTTACATCCAACATCTCACGACACTTACAAAAGAAGAAATCCTGGATAATCATAGGTCTGTTCTATGTTCCTTTGGAATTTCAACCAAAGATGAAGAACTGGATCTTCCATCACTGTATTGGATACCTAAACTACATAAGTGTCCTTACAAACAACGGTATATTGCTGGGTCTTCCAAGTGCTCCACGAAATCTCTTTCTAAATTATTAACATCTATTTTATCAGCAATCAAAGCGGGGCTCCAAAGTTATTGTGAAACTGCCTATTCTAGAGGTGGCGTGAATCAGATGTGGATACTAAAAAATTCCAAAGATCTTTTAGAGTACATACAATCTAAGACTCTCTCATCTTGCAATAGTATTAAAACATTTGACTTTTCTACACTTTACACAAGTATTCCCCATTCCAAACTAAAAGACAAATTGAAAGAGTTGGTTTTACTTTGTTTCATTAAAAAGAATGGCGAACGTAGATACAAGTATCTTGTCTTGGGGAGGGATAAATCCTACTTTGTAAAGAATCACTCTGATTCAAACAAAAAATTCTCTGAAACTGACATTATCAAGATGCTTGATTTCTTGATTGACAACATATTTGTTACGTTTGGAGGACGTGTTTTTCAACAGACTGTCGGAATTCCAATGGGAACCAATTGTGCCCCTCTTCTTGCCGACTTGTTTCTTTATTATTACGTTTGGAGGACGTGTTTTTCAACAGACTGTCGGAATTCCAATGGGAACCAATTGTGCCCCTCTTCTTGCCGACTTGTTTCTTTATTATTATGAGGCTGACTTCATACAGGAACTTCTTAGGAAGAAAGATAAGAAGTTAGCAATATCCTTTAACTCTACGTTCCGCTATATAGATGATGTTCTTTCACTAAATAATACAAAATTTGGTGACTATGTTGAACGAATCTATCCCATCAAACTAGAGATAAAGGATACTACAGATACAGTTAAGTCTGCCTCATATCTTGACTTACATCTAGAAATTGACAATGAGGGTCGGTTGAAAACAAAACTTTACGACAAAAGAGATAATTTCAGCTTCCCAATTGTGAACTTTCCATTTCTATGTAGCAACATTCCAGCAGCGCCTGCATACGGAGTATAAATCTCCCAATTGATACGATATTCCCGGGCTTGTGTTTCCTATCATGATTTCCTTGATAGAGGATTGCTGCTCACAAGGAAGCTATTAAGCCAAGAGTTCCAAATGGTGAAGTTGAGATCATCCATTCGTAAATTTTACGGACGCCATCACGAGTTGGTTGACCGTTATGGAATAACCGTTTCACAGATGATATCGGATATGTTCCTTATGTCGTAACTACAATATCCTTCCCTTTTCACGAATGTGACTTACCGAATAAGACTATTTACCGGATTTGTAATAACATAAGCAACACGACGGGTGCCACATGTGGAGCAGGATCTGCTTACCCTTCCGGAGCACCCGAGATCACCCCCAGTTTTTGGTGGGGTTCGTGTTGCTTAGTCTTTAGTTTTCTATGTTGTGTCATCTGTACTATCATTTGTCTGTTTGTCTTTTTATTTTTGGCCATGGCGTTGTCAGTTTGTTTTCGATCTATGAGTTTGACTGTCCCTCTGGTATCTTTCGTCCCTCTTCTTTCCTCTTCAAGAAAATTATCAGAGGACACTATTTAGGAGTGAATGCCCTTTAATGACAGTTTTGAACCAATTTTCATGTTTTTGCCCATCATCTGTAGGAGTATAATGATCAACAATACAAGATCTACAAAATGCCAATTCATATTTGTTTACTGGTATTACTTAAACAATCAATTGACTCGCTACAGAATGGCCCTTAAATCATGATTTTTGAACAATTTTATAACTTTAGTAGATAAAAGAATTATTGTAAACAGCAAAAATTATCAGCAATACAAAATACAGAAATATTCATACTGAAATCTTCAGCTAACTCCTTATAGGAGTAATTGCTCTTAACGGACAATGAAAGAATACAATATATATACAAAAGTAATAAGCAATACCAGATTTTTAAAAAAGCCACTATGACTTCAACCAACCGTTGAATTAAAATAGGAGTAAATGATCTTAAATAATAATTTTTGACAAATTTTAATTTGCAGCTTGTGAATGACAGTTATGAATTTAGGAAAGTATTTTTTCGAATCTTTCGGACACCTACTTCCTGTTCAAAAGTTTTTTTCTCCTATTATTGAGTTTATGCTTATTATTTTGAAAAGTAGAAACATAAACTATAAAACATGACAATAATCAACAATATGATATCTACAGAAATGTTGGCATGACAGATACATTAATTCACTCAACAAAGAAGTAAAGTTTCATCATAATTGGACAAATATGGTTGTGTTTACACCACAAAATCAAATAAAGTATGCACAAATCTGGACATCTGGGGTCTTTTAAAGCCTAGCAACACATAGATAGATAAAGCAATACAAGATCTACAAAAATGTTGATATGACTGATACCTTCAACTGACTCAAAATAAAAACTATTTCCATTAAATGGGTATTTTTGACAGCCAAAAACAAGATATTTTAAAAGATTCTAATAAAACCTATTTGTCAGTGTGCCCCCTATGCCCCAAGTCTTTGTCGACAAAATATTTTCTAACACAAAGTTATTGCTACTGAATCTGCTTATCTAGATCGGAAATTAAGCTTGATTTGACTTCTTAAACTGGACGTTAATTGAAAAAAAGAGGTTTCAATGGCCAAAGTTCCTGTGAGCTAAGTAATTGACTTCTTGTTTAACAGTTCATTAAGTTATTTCTTGAAGTTATTTTCATAAGTCGACATATTACGTTTCGTACAAATGTAAGAAAAAAAAATCAATAATGACCATTTAAGAATGATTTTACTTTATTCTAACTTGTAAGTAAAATTCATTTTAATTTATTAATGAATGAGTAAAATATTCATTTTTAGAAACTCTTAATTTATCAACGTTCACCATGTTGATTAACCGGACCATACACGTATAGGCTTATTGCTATTATTAATCTATCTATCTCACAGTGATACTATTGCTATATTTACAGAGGCGATTCCATTTTCTTCAGTATTCTTTCATACATTTACATTCCCGTTTTTCAACTAAATTTTGGAAAGTACATACAATATCAGAACCTTTTACCATTAATTCATTCATTGATATATCACTCATATGTATCCTTTAATTCCATTGGTTCTTACTCTAAATATTACCCATACATTTGTATAACCTTTTTCATTTGTCCTTTGGCAAGATATCATTACGTCTAACATTTTGAGCACTTGATTTCATATCTCATGAGACTTAAGCCTG